GGGGGGGGTTGCGGCCGTTCTCGCGACGGCATGTTCATGCGTTTCTCTTCAGAGGGGCTGACCTAGGTACATGATTGACAGAAGAACCTAGCACCTCTGCTAGATCCCGTGCGCTCTCAACGTCCCTTGATTATCTAGTTCAATCTCTTAGTTAATTCCATATTATTATTTGGGCTACGCTTTTCGTTCCATCTGTACCGATTCAGCCGACCGTCACCACTCGTGGCTTCCACGACTCTTTTGTTTAAATAGCCAATGCTGGCACAGTCTTAGCATGGCTGGAACCTCTGCTTTTATTTCTCATCTAAAATATTCAACAAAAGGACAGCCATACGCGGCTCCAACCCTTCAGCATATGCGAGCTCTTGAAGATTGCACCATACCCAGTACGGGAGGGGCCAGATAAAAACCTTTTGCTTTTATTATGCCATTATCTATAATGATTCAGTCTATTCGCTCTAAGGGCCATTTGAATTCGTACTAGGCATAAAGACAATAATCCGCCGCCAACAGATCCAGGTGAATCTTGGTTCATGCACTCTCAAGGTCGATAACAAGCGAAATTGAGAACACATACCCTCTATAGCATAGGTCCAACACCTTGACCAACTTTCTTCAATAGAGTCTGCCTCCACAAGCGATACAATCAACACACCTTACGGAGAAACCCATACAAACAGGAGAGTCCTTCCGGGTAAACACGTCACCCTTAGGACCTCTGTGGGTAGACAGTCGGCGGAGGCTATTCAGCTCCCAAGCCAACTCGGGGACACTGTCGTAGATCAGTTGTGATTTGATCTGTATGCCTTGAGTGGCTGGGTATCCTGTCTAATGGACCCAGAACCCGTTTCCGGTTTCAAGAGTGCGAGAGCCTAGAAGGCGAAAAACTTCTTGTTTTCCGATACTGGTTGCATGTTCACGTGAGAAGTGCGATTCCCAGAACTCGAGAAGGGTATTTTCGTTGAGTCGTTGGATCGTGCGCTTGTTAACAATCTTGACTTGGGGTCCTCCACGGAAACGAATCGTGAGGTCAATAGTTCCCTCAGTAGTTGTAGTGAACTCAAGAATTTGGAATGACTTTGTGTTAGCCACGAGATGGTAATAGATCGGTCCTGTGTCGCTCAGGTCGATGTTTTTTCTTTCGGTGACATGTTCTTGACTCTCTGTAAAGAGCAGTGGGGTAGGTTGAGGCCCGTTGTCACTACTAAGAGTGTATAGACCAATGGACCGGTGCTCGATGGCAGTGTTCGAAGAGGCAGAGGGGCGGTTCGCGTCGTCTTGAGAAGGTGACCGGGCTTCGCTCCGTTGGAAGATTGACGGTCACGAGCCATACAAAAAGACCGCCAACTTTCGTCTCTCCCAGTGAAGGGAGTTACCATCGGCTGGCTCGACGCGCTCTCTTGGCAGGGAATGTGGTTCGTCAGAGGACATACGGAAGCCTCTTCGGGGGTCGCTAAGAGAATAGTCAGTCGCGTATGGATGAACATCAACGTGATAAACTGACTGCTGCTCTCTGAGCTCCAGCTCCACTCCATAAGCGGTCCATCTAACTCGCTTTGGGGTACAGAAGACATGATTAAGTTGAGATGGTCGTATTCTTCAATACAGCTTGGGCTTGGTAGGTTGAGGTTGGCGAGGAAAGACAGGAGGATTGATGAGGATTACCTGGTTAGAATAAATTAAGAAGCCAAAGACGACATCTTCAGCATGCTACCATTATTGTTTTAACCCATGCTATGCTGCAGAGTACTGCAGAATGGCAAGCCATGAATGCACAAAGAGCTGCCCAACCTTTGTTGCAGTATGGTATGCTGTATGCATGCGTGCTGAACAAAGCGGCGCCTCATTTTGCCTTCATTCTTTTCACCGTAAATTACTTTTCTTACGCAGCTATGAAGTGCTTGATGAAGCTGGGGCAAGTATGTAAAGAAGAGCTGAGAGGTTCTTTGAGCTCGCATGCAAGTCCCGTTTCGCTGTGGCCGGGTGATCATTGACCCGATCTACTCTGTTACACCGACTACCAGTTTGGGCAATCAACACTTGTCACCTCCATGATAGCAATCAAGCAAAAATATCCTTCGACGAGGGATTGAGCGATCCATATTCGGCAATGCTTTGTATGTCTACTCACCAGACAGGGCGGAGATATGTGGACTTACCTACCTACAGACACTCGATAACCGTCACTTTGCTGGTAGTATGCTAACAGGTCTGTGACTGAAAGATCAGAGCGCAGGGTATGATCAGTGATAAAGGCATGCTTGAAGAATAGATTGACGGGATATAATATCTTTAGATGAGAAGTAGTGTTTTACGATCTTTACCCAGGACGCTTCTACCTACCGTTTGTACTGGATGCCTTTTAGACAGCTCGTATCCTTTGTCGTGGATCGAAAATCGCAAATACGAGCTGTACATTCATCTTCGTAATTCGTGCATCAAAAGCCAGTATTCACGGGTTGATCCTTTGAACCTACTTGCGAATTAGCAGCGGCAATTCACCAAAGAGCCAGATCCAAATCTCCACACATCTTGACTTTTGACATCCTCATCACCACTAGCCTAAGCGACCCGCACCAGGATCCTCTTCAATCACCCCTCAAGAGATTAAAAACACAAGTGACCATGACTGGACGGCCCCTTTTCGAGCATAATGCTGAAGAGTATCAGCTAAAAGTCCTACGCACCGAGATTGAGAAAACTATCCTCATCCTCAATCCGGCGCCCCAGCTCGCGACTCACCTTCCGGAGACAATGGCTTAGATACGACGCCATTCACGAGCCACTATCATATCCGAAGAGCCTCTTCAGCAGTCACAGCCCTGCCGAGGCTCGAAGGGAGCAAAGCCTGGGGTATTCAGTTTTGATTCATGCGTCGGCCTGCCCAGTAATAGCGGTACCAGCTGGTATGAGATCTTTACTCATTCGCGACCTGACGATGGCGACGTACCTGAGGGAGATAGCGTGACCATGGAGGCTGCAGACGAGAGAAGCACAACGTTTGATAAGGACCCAGGACCAACTTCAACCGCCGAACAGTCTGATCTCCTTGGAAAGTCTACTTCTGTTGGAACTCGAGTGAAGGCTTGGCTGGATGAGATGCCTTCTGCCTCTCCTGCTACATTGAGCGAAAATGTCGACTGTGAAGACGCCGCCGCTGTCCAGGAGTATCAAGACTCAGCCCCGACAGTCAAGAAGCGTAATCGTCATAATAATGATGGCGACGAATGGTGATGGCAAATCCACATCTGGGGGGAAAAGGTCAAGACTGTGATCAATGGCGTATCAAATAAAGCCCGATTTTCCCTGCCTGTAAGGTTAAACGGCGATGGTGTAAGGAGACGAGACGAATTGGGTTATATCGAAATGTGCGGGGTGGTAACCCCAGATTAAGCTCAGGTAGATAATAAGACTCCATTCACACGGGTATCTTCCATTTCTTTGCCTCAGTGGAAAGAGTAAAAAATTTGTCCTCTTTCTTCTATCTAGACTTCTTCACTAGGTAAACATCCTCTGCCAATGTGTTTCTTATCACGAGTCTTCCATTCTGATCAGTGACAGCGATCTTGTCAAACAAGGTTCGGGCCGATCCGACAGATCCACTAACTACATCAGGCTAGCATCTCCAGTGTCTCAGCGCTGAGTGCTAACTTCGTCTCACTGCAAAACAATAAAATGAGGCCAAGAAAGCCAACCCTCTTGGTATGTCAAACCGTGACGTTTATGCTGATCTTGAATGAACAGTAAACTCTACTTATTGTCCACTTCAGAGGTCAACTTTGCCCAAACAGTCATAGCCTTCACCTCCAGACTTGCCGGGACTTCAGTTTCTTGGAGGGCTCTCAAGAATGGGGTACGAGTACTTGACACAGATTGCCGTCCAGATCCGATCGTTGATATGCTTATTCTTCTCCCATTGCGATTCCCAATTACCACAGCCGCTATTCTCGATGACAGTGCGGAGAATAGCCCTGCACTGCATGTTAGTGATGTCGGTGCTGATAACACCTTTTCTTCCCCAGATCATGCGGTAGGGCTTCAGCCCTTGGCTGGCTGCGACCTCTAGCACCTTTTCACTTCGTTCCAGATTCCACCGCAGGATGGCGTGGAACTTGGGCATGTTTCCGTTCATCGATCTGGGTTGTTCTGCTAGCTATGTACCTAGGTAGCCAGGTTTTGTATCTCATAGCTGTACCTGAATAGAACTATTGGACCGCTTTGCTCTCTGGCCTCATTGAGGCAGATGTTTAGAGCTTGTACATCTGAGCAGGGACGGTGTAGCTTCTAGGTTGTGATTAATAGATTACTATGTGGAGATAGTGGCTGACCTACTACGCGACCCCCTCTACGGATTCCAGACCGACCCTCACTGCAGCCGCCAATTCCGACTGTGATGAATTTCGGCTGATCAGGTACCACAATGGCGGTTTCTCTGTAGCTCGAATCGATCACTATGGACGTCTCGGTGCATCTTGACAGTCTGTGGCCGCCGACATCATATATTTTGAACTTAAAATCGGGAGATTGAAGAGCTTCAAGCCTCTTGGATGCTATGAGGCAAAAGAGGGTACAGCGACCAGCATTGAGCTCGCAAGTACCGCCACTGGATACAGTCTCGGAGGCATTCCCTCGTCACTTTGGATTGCCGCCTTCAAACGCTCCGGCGTCAACTTAGACGGAGCCTTAATCGGGTCAGTAACATAGTTGTTATATGTTATAGGCGTAATGCAGATCATGTAGTCAATTTGACGGAGGTTAAAGTAGGCTTCCTCGGTATGGGCCTTCCGCCATTCTACTTGGGCAAGTGACAGGGCTAGATTTCCGTCCATGATGCTAGTCGTGGATGATACTCTTGATGAGAGGTCGATGGCATGGTATGGGGAGGAGCGGATTTATAGACGAAGGTTCTTTATCTCTGACTGCGCTGTTGCCAGCCAAACTATGTTGGGTTGTTTGATTATATGTCATGTTTCTTTGTCCAGAAGTGATAATTGCTATATAGCCAACCGGGAACAAACAGTCTTGCAAAGGACGTTCACTTGGGTCTTTTGGAGACCCCAGTAGAATGTTATGAACTCAGATGCCGACCCTTGCAAGGCCATTATGGCTTGCTGCAGTGTGATTAAATTGCAGTGAAGAAAGACTTTAGGTGATCATCATCAAGGGAACGTGACAGCGGAAAGGCAGGTTGTTAGCACATTGATCGTTCATATTCAAGTAGACGGGTTTGGATTGATATCGAACTGTCTATCTGAATCTCTCGGTACGGGCTCAGCTCAGTCCAACAGAAAAATAGTTCTTTACACTACCGGCCTCATCCAACACCCCCTGAGATGGAACCATACTCGTCCATCAACCACGCGTAAACCCCATCGGCATCCGCCGCCTTGGGCTGGTAGTTCTCTTTGATCTGATAAGCTTGGAAGTGAACGCAAGATTCAAGTATCGCAACCTACTGTACTCAGGTAACTTGGCTTCAAGCTCCTCCTGGGTCATCTTTGCAAACTGAGCATCGCATTCGGCAAGGGCCTTTACCATCTCGGCTTCGGTGAGACGCTTATTCTTGTTGGCGGCAGCGGCTTTCTGAGCGCTGGGCTTGCGATCAGCGGTGCTATTGCCGGAAGTCTTGTTGTTCTTGTTAGGCATCGTGATGAGTGATACAAAATCGGTAGAGGTGTGTAGGTAGTTGTCTGGTGAACGAGTAGATTGTGCTTCCAGCGAGAAGTGTAAGATGAAAGAAGACTGGCAGTGCGGTCGGTAAGGAGGGTGAGAGCAAGATATAAAGTGCGGCGGGGATATGCAAGGCAGAGTGGCGTGCGAGTGATTTAATGAAGCAAAATAGCCCTAGCTCGAGAGGCAAAGTGGCTGGCTGTTAACTCGCGTTAATTATCAGTGTAATAAACACAGCCTCTCTACGCATAAGGGGCCAATATATAAACAGTTTATCTAGCCTTTAATATTAAACTATCTAAAGTGCAAAAAACAAAACAAGTCTTAACTATAATAGGGTTAAGGGGTTAAAAAGAGGCTTTAGCCTTAAGGCTGCCTTTATTATTATTTAGAATTTTACTTTTAATTAAAAAGTTAAATATTTTAAAAATTAACTTTAAAGGTATATAAATAAATAATTATTTAATACTTATTTATAAAGATAATTAAGCTTAAAATATATAAAAGACTTAAAAATAAGCTACTTAATATAAATAAGTTTATGAACTTAAAATAATACTTTTAAAATAACTTTTATTATAATTATATAATATCTAATTTATTATATAATAAAAAGAGGTTATATAACCTTTACTCCCTTAAGGGTTATATTTATAGCTTTAAACTTTAAATTTAATAATCTTTACCTTAAATATATTATATTTATCTATATATATAAATTTATAAATTAATAAATAAGACTTATTAATAATTAAGTATTATATATTTAATATAATGTTATATTTAGCCTTATTTAGCTAAATATTATAATATAATTAATAATTAATTTTTAATAAATATAAAAATTATAACTTTAATTTTAGCCTTTTTTTTATTATTAATAATTAAATTTATAAAAAATTAAATAAATTAATAAAGTTTTAAAGCCTTAATATAGCTATAAAGGAAAATAGCCTTAATAATAAAGTCTTTTTAAAAGTTATTAAATTTAGTTATTATAATTATATTGTAGTAATAAGACCTTTTCTTTATATTAAAGAGAAATATTATAAAATAATTAAAGATTTATTAAATAATAAAGTTAAAAAAGTAAAATTAATAAAAAAGAATTTAACTTAGGTAAATATAATATTAAACCTATTAAAAATAATAAATATTAAGATTTTATAGCTATAAATATAGATAGAAATTAAATAGATTAATAATATTTAATAAAAAAGCTTATTTATTAAAAATTTGATTATAATTAAAATTAAGTTTTTAATTAAATAAAGCTTTATTAAATAATTTATAAAGGTTTTAAATATAAAGTAAGTTTTAACTAATATTAAAAACTTAATAAAAACCGCTTAATATATTATTTTAAAAGGTAAGGTATTTATTATACTTACTTAGTAAATTATATCTTTACTGTGTCTGGTTTTGTGAGGCTCTGCGGCTCTGCACACAGACACTGATCCAATCTTGCGTCCTCAAATCGTAACTTACCTCCTACTCCCTTGATCCTGATCCTGATCGTCCCCAACCATCAGTCAGCATCTTGATTACCATAAATTTTCCGGAATACTTTGTTTCAAGATCAATATGTACGTACGTACGCGATCATGCGCGCCGACGCGCTGTCATATTGCGCGCCGCGTCTTCTGAGCCAGCGAGGCTGCAATGTTCAACATCCGCGACAAGCCAACAGCAACACCATCGCCACCCAAACCAGTAGAACCCGCACAATTGAGCCCGTTCACTTCAATATTGCCCTATCGATGGCGCCCGGAAGTACAAGCTCCTCCATCCACAGCCTCTCTGTCTCTACCTCCTCGATCCTCATGAACGCACTGTCGTCATTTCCGCCCGATGCAATATAATTTCTCTGTTGCTTACAACCCTAGCCGCGACAGCCCAGGCATGGCGTACCGCTGTAGGTATATTCGCCTTGTGTCATGGCTCCAGCTGGGTCGAGAGCCTTTCCAACTCCGTGTAGCAGTCAGTTATTATATATAATTCTTTGCTCTATTGGCAACGAATATTACAGGACGGCCCTCCTCAATCAGACTCTAGCAGCTGCAGAGCTTTTGTTCTCAATGCCATGCGATACGCCAGTTATCTCTCTCGGCAATAAAGTCTTTTTATCTCCTAAATAAGCAATCTATCCGTTGTCTCACATAGCGTATGCTCCCTCTTCCTCTTCCATCACCTATCACTAGTTCTCTTCTACTTGTCCTCTCCAATCTGCTCTGTCACCTTATTCAATTCTCCTTGCAAGCGGTTAATACGTTTGTTCATCAAGTCGCCGCTTCTGAAAGCATTGCTCTCCAGTCTCATTATGCGCTGATGCAAAGCCTCGCCGTTGAAGACCCCTTGCTGGGTGACATTCTTCTCAAGAGTCTGTTCGCGTATGGCTCGACAGGCCTCCATCTGGTCTTGTCTTAACTAATCACAGTCAGTCGTGGCTCATTTCACAGTCAGGCAATCACCACCTACTTGATCAATGACAAGGGATCGCGGACCGAGCTTCGCTTCTGCTTCTTTTAAAGCTTGCTGGACATGCATAAGTCTCTATATATATTCATACTGGATATTAAGGAACTATTACAATCAATACTTAGTATCACATACTGATCAAAAAGAGCGTTTACTTACCTCCCTACATGGAAGTCCCTCTTCCAGGCATGGAACACATTTGTCAGGACCATCCTAACATTTCTCCTCGGGGTCTAAGGCCATAACAGCAATGCAGTCCTTGCAAGGGGGAATACTGGATCTGTCAGTCGTTGTATCAAAGTGTTTTAGGTATGGTTTACTTGTATCCATGGCCAGCTTCAATGTCTTGTATCTCGTCAGCTTCAGCTTGGTGATTGGCAATCGGTTCGTTGAGTCGCAGTCCCTGGGTTTCTGTCCGCGTTGTCCGAGTCGACGAGCGACCTTGCTGCTGGCTTTGTTTGCGCTTCTTGTTGGCCATGATAAACCGATGCACTCTGAGTTGGATCGGGAGTGAAGGTAGGAGGGAAAAACAGGCGGCGACGGGAGTTTTTATTACCATGGCAGAAGCGTTTAAACGCCAACCGGAGTTCCATGGCAACTAATTTACTCCAAAGCCCATTCTGACGGATAACGACTTAGACGATGGGTCGGCTGTGATGCTGTCAAACAGACAACCAAATGAATGACGAGGACCTGAATGCTAGCAGCCGCTCATACCCATATTAGAGCAATCTATTAGATCAGATGTATCATTTTATTCTGGTGGAGCTGATCGGCATGCGGCGGGATGTAATCCAGGAAGCCGTTTGAGCTGGTGCCAACAATATAACACACAAGGCTATCCTGAGGAAATCTAATTGCGCAACGGAGCTCTCGGATTAATTCCCCTGATTTGAACAATTTCCCTTTTCTGTGTATTATTAGAGATGTCTGATTGTAATGTTATGGCGTCGAGAATTTCACGTTGGAATACCCTATACTTGACCCCGCATCTGACCAGGATGGATCAAGAATTGCAGTCATCATTCTCTTGCTTTGACAAATACATAGCTTGAGACCCATGGCTCAACTAGACCTAAAATTAAGACAGTGAGAATAATTTGCACGTGATGAAACAGAATGGGGGTGCAAGAGTTAATTGGGTATTAAAAATGGGTTTATCGGTAACTAAAATTATGCTTCAGTGGCATATCCGCCAAGATCCAACGTTGAAGATGATCCACTGACAGAAGAGTGGAGAAACGCGCGCGCGTTTGAAATGATCATGGAATGGGGAGTATCCGTATGGATATGTCATCAGCCTTTTCACGCGTTCTATCTGAGAAAATCACGATGAGAGATGGAATAATCGGCTAAGACATGAGCTAAACGGTTGGGAAGGATTCTGTATAGCTTCCATGCTGACCCGTAATCGTAACGTGACCGGGCCGGGAATTGGCAGCACCAGGTAGACGACCCGGTTGCCCAATGTTGAGAAACGTGCATTTCTCAAAGATGCCAAGAACCGTGTACATGGTGATGCATCGCTTATTGACTTTTTTATCGGTGTGCCGCAGCAAGAGGCTACGAGCCGCAGTGCTGCTAAACTTCATCCCGCGTGTGTTATCACGATGCAAGATCCGGCTGGAATTCGCAGGCTAGGACACCAAACCACTCAGCTCAGCAGGCTTCAGATCAAACAACAGTTCCGAGACTCAAGAGCAGTCAGATTTAGGCCAAGAAGCCAACTCTGGGCCTCAGCCGATGACTGCTTCCAATACCACCACTACAGCCACAACAATATCACCCGAAAGCCAGTCCGCATCGGCACGGTCGACGTCGTCGTTGCCATTAGAATGTGTGGATTTCGAGCGGAAACTCCCAGCTGAACGGCGATAAATGTATTAGATGACTTCCCGTTAGCTTGCTTAGTTGGCCCCCGGGCTCGAGCCAACGCGTAGTGTATTTACATTTTTGCAAAAAAGAAACCTTCTAACTAGATTTGGACTAGCTTAGGAAGACGCGCGACGTGACTGCAATACCTAATCGATATGATCAGCACATTGAACCTCCTGGTCGCTGAGCAGATTGCAGTTGCGTACTTCATCTTCCTCACGGAAAATGCCGACTTCTTGGTGGACTCCTCCACGACCAACACGACCACGGCCTGCTGAGTCTATCCTTCGCGACTCTGTCAATAGGAGCATGTATTAGAGACTGGAGAGAGCCTGGCCATCGGGGCATCAGAGGAATGATGGTAATGGGATAGCTGGCAATACTGGCCAATTGGTAGTCCGGTCTTCGCAGTTCATCTGCTCAAGATGGAATGGGTTGCTGGCATCTGACGTTCCAAAGTGGTAGCTGTGGTTCTGAATCGGTGAAGTGGTTTTGAAATCCGGTTGAAGATGACAGCGATAGACAAAGCTAGCAAATGTATGGTGACGCCAACGGGTCTTCGTCGTGAGGTTGATGATGACTTGACTGAGGGGTTACGGCAAGGGGACCGTGTTGACGAGATTCTGTGTACAATCGTCTGCACAGGTTGACCTGAGTCGGTGCCTCAATCTCAATATCGTGGGACCGACTGGCGATATTTCGTAGAGCGTAGTAGATGGTAGCGGCGACGGTTTATTTGGCTTTGGGGGTAACGAAGGCTTGGTCGATAGGTGTAGAGGGCGCAATCGTGTCATCGGGGTTCCGCACCGACTATGTATGTCCAACTGTGTATTTGGTCGTTTCGGACTCGGGGAGGCGGGACGACTGCTGTTGTAATTACTCACATTAGGGTGATAGCTTCAGAAGCTGCCTCCACGACTCTCCTCTGTGATGTAGGCACCTTGGGCCATGAATCGAATGGCAAGGCTTGCCCACAACCCAGATATCAGGCCAAGCCAGGCCAGAGCCAGGCTCAACCTTGTTCGTCTGTACCATTCCAACGAAGATGTGTGTATTGTTGGTCGAGAGGGTAAGGATCGAGCAATTGAGGTTGCTGGTGAGGCAGCAGGCGTCATTGGACTGGGCTGCGTTGTGCGAAACTCGGAAGAGCAAAGGCTTCACGAACTGGCGGAAATCGAGGAGATGGGCTGATGCAGTCATGAGACTTTCTCAGAAACGACATCTCGCAATTGTGCTTGCACCATTGATCGATCGAATGCGCGTCGGTCGAAGGATTACGCTTGCTCGCGAGGGAAAGCGGAAGTGTTTCGGGCTGGGTTGTGTGAGCATCTCAAGTGCGAAATTCGGGTGACGTGACAGGCCAGTATGGAGTCGGCGAGACGCGTCTGGAGTTTGTGACGAAAAATGATGGGCTTGAGTCGAGGAGGCAAATGCATTTGGCGATCGCAGAGGGGTAAAATGACGCCGTCAACAAGCTGCGGGAGCTTAACCTTGACCGAAAAGTCGTTCAAGGTCAAACCGTAACACTTGCGAAATTTGACGACGTTGGCGTACCATTCCTACAGGCCTTGAGTTATTAACGCTGGATTGGACTCTAATTCCTCCAAGCCGCGCCAGTCGTCAGTCAAGACGACCCCATCGGCAGCCGCCGTTGACGCCAACATTGACAAATTTCGTGAAATGTTGCGGTAGTTTAAGTTCTGATACAGGCCATTGTTAAAAGGACATTTTTGGAAAGCTCGCTACGCGAAAGAGAAACTTCCTTACAGTACATGTATCTTTTCCCAAGACCATCGCCTGACTGACTGCCCTCAAGACCAGCCGGTACCTGACCTGGGGGAGGAAAGAAAACACAGCACCTTGACCCTTAGTGACAAAGAGATTTAGGTAGTATAGCCTAATCTTAGAGTAACTTTTGCTAAGTTTATTTTAACACCCCACAGCTAAGTTTGCTGTTTCCTTGCCCCCCCAAGACTGACTCCGTGAAACCCCGCCCCGAGACGAATGTTGAGATACTGCCCACCTTCGGGCCCCAGCTACCTTAGCTAGCATCCTTCCCCATACACACACATCACATCTCTACGAGCCACACTCCTTACGCACCTCGGATCATTTCCCCCCTCAACCATCTCCTCAATCATCTTTTCATCCTTCGCCCCATCTCCTGGGGCTTTGACTCGCCGGTTACAAGACCATACACACCAAATCAGGCATTAACCAGCAGTCGACGAACCACAACAACACACACAAAATGCCTGCAAGAACCGCTGCCCGTTTTTAAGGACGTCAGCTGCGCGAAGCTCTGCTACATCTCGTACCTCACCAGTCGCCTAACCAGTTGATACCCCCAACACGCTTTGCGGATCAAAGCATGTGCCACTTTTCGTGAGGCACAGAGAACCACAGCAATGCACTGAAAGGTTGCTGCAACCCTGCGAAAGATTCAGGAATCTTACGCCTTTAAACCAACAAATCCTCAACAGTCTCGAGCCGAATAAATCCCGCGCTGTACAAACGGTTCCTTCTCTACACTTCCACGACAATGTGGGTTGAGAAAACACAAAAATGCCGGCAAGAACCACCGCTTATACACCTGAAAGCCGATATGCCTGGGTTTCTGGACTCCATGGACGATCACATGTCGAACATCAGCTGCGCGAAGCTTGCTGCGTCTCGTACCTCATCGGTCGCCGAACCAGTTGATACCCCCGAACAGGATGGAAAATACACAACAATTGCGATACAGAGCGCAGAGCTCTCCAAAAGCGCTTGGATACAAGTTCACACAACCCGATTTTCCCTGCCCTGGTGGTTGAACGGCTAAAGACAATGTGTGTGAGAATTGTGTTAGATCGGATTTTGCGGGGCGGATACCCTAGATTAGGCTCAGGTAGCTGATAAGACTCCATTCACACTGACATGTTCGTCACTACAAGAGGCAGGTTTATATTACCTGACAGGCACCGTTTCAGCTCTGGGCACCAGTTGTCATCAATACTCGAGTCTTACTCAACGTCCTTCGACTATCACGTGTACTTATTCTACCCGTCGTGCGCTTTCCTGGCTTGCCTACACCGCCGTCACCAGCATCATCGCCTACCTTATTCCGAGCCTCTGTGACACCAAGACAAAGCCAAGCAAACTTCCAGTTACATATGTGGGTTTTTTATCACCACCTACATTGATATGGGGAATAGGTATGAGACGTACGGACTGAAGTTGATGGACTCGGGCATGGCCAACAAGGGTGAAGTTGACATTCCAAAGGCAAGCGCCTCACCAGCACAGAAATACCTTGACACCCGAAATCCTCGTCTTAATCATCACTGCACAGCCATCTCAACCTAGGTACTAACGAGATTACCGATTTTCTCTCGGACCTTTCAGGGCATCGTCATCCTTGTAATAAACACAGAAGAGCAGATTCGGGGTGAGTCTAGATCTCCTAGTCCGCAGGGCCCAAGACACAGCAACGTCTTCTAGACCATTTGCCAACTATTTGGACAGGGTTCAGAAGTATGTTGAGCGGGTGAGGAAAATACGTGCCTCGATGATGAACCCCCAAGAACCGCGAGCATGGTTATATTCAACACCACCATTATTTGCATCTGCATCTTTATCGATCATTTGGAGTTTTAGTCGGCCTCTTAGCAGGATCCCACCTACTCTCTACACTCCTCGTCTGGTTTTCACCATCAATCAATCATCATTATCGAGCAGTTGCTGCTGTAGCTGGCGTAGAATACGACGCGCTTCAAATATGGTCTCGGCCTATATGTTCTGTGAAGTCGCCGCGGTAGCAATAGCTTACTCAATAACTGGAGTTGTAAGCAAGACATTCCAGTTAACGGCATAGCTGCCGGATATTTTGACAGAGGACATCGCCGTGGGTACGAGGCTGGGGAGCCTTGGTCGTGGGGACTGTGGAGTTGCGAGTGAGACCAGTTCCTTCTAGCCCGGAATCTTCTCCATATCCTTCGAGATGATACCCAGCCCGAAACCGGCAAGTTTTCTCTATCATTGGCAGCCACAGCTTGGTGTCACATCGTGAAGACGCACTCGTAGGAAAGCAGGAACTCCCGGTAAACCGTCTACTAAACGCCGAGTTATGGCTCACCTTAAACGACGCCAGCCCATGCATCGGCCTCGGAGTGCTTTTCTGCATCGGTTAAACCGTTTCTGCTGTTGAGTTTCTTCCCTCAACTGTGAGGTCATCTTCTATGGTACCAAGACCTCGTAGGCGCCAAAATATACAACGGAGGCAATCGACATTGCACCAGCTTGCTGAACTTAGGGCGGTTAAGACGGCTTCCGGGCAATTACACTTGGAGATATAGGAGGTTGCTTGAGATCGGCGCGTTCTGAGCTGGAGGAACGATTGCTGGAGCATCATTGATCATGAGGGCAGGCAAAATTCTCAACAACATGGAGCGCCATACTGCTATGGGGTAACGTTGTACAGAGCCAAACCGCCTTCGAATACTCTGAAAAAGACACAGGCGATGATGGAGCGGTGAGGGGGTTGGCGCTCCCATCTCACTTAATTCGAGAGCTATGTCAGTTAAGTGACTACATATATGAGGGCCAAGTAGTAACTAGATTTGAAAAGTAAAGTCAAAGAGTACAGACGCCTTGGGATAGACGGGTTTCAGTTGCGTTGAAATAAAGCTCCCTGTTGACCATGACGATCACCATTTGACACACGACGCGCAACTGACACACATTGAACGACAAGACAACTCCACCGCTGAACCAGAGCCATCATCAAGAAGCCCTTGTAGCAACTCCTTTCCCCTCCAGAGCACACATAAACCTAGAAATCTCAGTATGCTGCCATCGGCAGCGATGGTGAAACACTGGCCGCCGTGAACCCTGACTTTCGGCGTCTGTTTGTGCCATCTTTATCTTTGTTCTCTTCGCTTCATGTAGGCAAATCTTCGAGTCATTGAGCGATAACAGCTTGTTGAGCAAGGCTTGAGGAAGCCGCACTGTTCAATGCACCACCTCAGTCATCAGTCGGGTGAATTTAACACGTTAGTAGTAGCAACAGGGCATGCAGGATTGCCGACGGAGCCGCACTCGAGGCCCTGTATTCTCTGCATGTATGGGCGGTCCCAGTCAGGGTGTCTTCCCAATCGGTTTAATGAGCACGAGTGAAGACAGCACTCTTTGTGAAGAACCACCCCTCAAGATAAAGGCGCGATGACAGTCACGCATCGTGGCTCAGTCGCTCAAAGCGATGCCCTAATAGAACCAGGCGAAATGGGCGAGTCTCTTTGAGCAGGATTATTTTCATTGTTCCGGCGGGATGGAGTAAGTATTTTGATAACGCTATTTGGTATAAGGGCCGATGTTTGGCGGAGAGCGTGCGCCTGTTGATGAATTGTGTTGTTAGCAATCAGGCAGAGGGAAGATATTGAGGTAGGGCAAAGGAAAAACGAACCTCGCCGCTGTAGGAATCATCAGCAATGCAGAACATATTCTTTCTCCCAGGACAGTTGCCTCTTAATCGCTGCTGCCTGACCATGACAATATGCCGAAGCGAAGATGGTCACGTAAGTATAAGGTCGCGGCAACAATTGGTGATCTGCATGTTTCAGATCGAAGTGTCCCAAGAGCCATGGTCCTATCTGGCTAGCCTTTGGGCAATTTGCGAGTCTTGGAATGACCTATATAGCTGTGATCTCCGATAGCGACGATGGAGTTCGGTATCTGTCGCGAGGATCATACCGCAGCAAATTGATTGCCAATGTTGTGTGCCGTCTCGAGCATATAGTTTGTTCGGTCAACGACGTGCAGTGTCTTGTCGTAGCATTGATGTCGGCCTCGGGTGATGCTGAGAGCAGTTGACGATGAAGGCACCGAGCAGTCAAACTCGGCCTTCAACATGAAGCCCTATGATTGCGCGATAGGTTCGCCCTTGATCTTAGTCACGTTGTTCTGCTTCAAGCTTAGTTATTATCAATTGTGTGAGACAGGTCGCGTCAGCCGCGTCGGTCGTAGCTTTCGATGTTGGAGTCTCGTTCAGTGCTTAGGTCGCGATTTCTGGAGCAGAGGAAACTGCCAAGGTCAGCCAATGAGTTTAAAAGACGAGCTTCTGTAGTACCACGCGTCAATCACTAGAGTCTCATTCTGAAATGAGATTTATGTTGGTCTTGTTCTCATTCCAAACCGACTTGGTCGCGTCTATTGGGAGGCACGCAACCTCCTGGGCCGGAGCGCATGGGATGCATCCTCGCGATCGGCGAACGGCGTCGGGTGAGACATAAAAGAGGTTTAGAGCACATGAACTTGGTAAAGACACCGTCTCGAATATGGTTGACTGTTGATGCGGGGTCAAGAGTCTTGTAGGGAACGCGTCGGGCCGGAGCGTCTCGCGCAAGCACATCAAGCGGAACGTGTCGATTGACGTGAAGAGTTTTCATCGAAACAATATTGGCAACATGGATAAAAAGCGTTCCGGACCGAGGCCTTCTATGCACGGTAATAAAAACAGCAATTTATCTGGCAAGTCTGAAATCCCTGTCATTCTCCTACATGGCACACTCAATAGCGCAGCCACTGTCGGCTTACTGTCATAGAGCGTTCATGATGTGAATCTTGTTTGTGATACGGTGCGGTGCGGGTGAGCAACCGGGCGATGCGGCGATGGCAGTGAAGCAATTTCAGGCAGATTTCTATTGTCCTAAAGGGGCTAAAATACTATTACATCTGAATCAACAATACGCCATTACGTGGTCTTATTTTGATCACTAAATCGAGCAGGCTCCAAAGTGGCGCGCTGCGCTTACCTCGACCGCAGGATTCGTGGGTTCAATCTAATCTGCTGTGCCTCATCACCAGATCTCAACAGGTCCAAGACCAGATTCGCCAATCACATCCAATGTTCATTCGGCTTAGGTTTGTTTAGCGTTGCTTTAACTTTTGATTCGTCAAGCTTATCTCTAACCTTAAAAACTCAATCTTGGATGCCGAAACTTTCGGTAGCGGGGCGTCATTGCCACTTTCAACCCACCCTCACTGTGGCTCAATGGACAGCGCCGAGAAAACGCAGCATTTGAAGAGATTTACCATAAGAAATGATACTAGGGCACCAAAGAGGAAGAGATAGGCGGCTGCACATGGGTACAGTGGGGGGTATCTGTTGTAAATACCGGGCTGTTCAAAGTTTCGGGTTAGTTCTGCGAGGAGATGATGGCGAGGCGGGATAATTGCACTGAGCCCGAGCTTTGAAGACTGGTAAATCTCGAATTGCGTGCCCAAGGTGAGAAGTTTGTCAGGGCATTCAATGTGGATCGAATAGTGACCTCGGCAAATTCCAGTAGACAGACACGATATGCGGCGAAGGACTGGCTGCATAAGGGAGGCTCGAAATACATAGTGTTGCGGATATACCAATGCTTGCCAAGATAGAAGGAATTGGCATTGATATGCCGAACATATGCACCTCGTTTAACTGCGGCATTACAAGTCATGCTTTAGGGGCAAAATAGCTTTCCGCCGCATTAGTTAGGCTTCCTTCATTAGATGGCGTGTATCCCACAGCATGTGACCTGCTAACGAACAGGTGGGAGGGATACGGAGGAACGTAACCGCTGGCGCGATTGTGTATCGTGATGGAGAATCCTGCTGACAATGAGAAGCTTGAAGCAGGCGAAATGTTACGAGAAATCGGCCGTTGGTTCAACGGAAGACTTGATCGCTTGGCGGGATCGAAGGTTGGGGGTAATTCAAGGTCCGAGTTAGGGCGGTCGCGCGGGCTGTTTGGCTGGTGTCTAGCTATTGAGTGTAAAGATTGTAGGCGAGGAGCGAATCAATCTACCTGTTCTCGAGGCACGATGGGCTCGGAACCATGCTGGCATAAAGAAACCATGTCACTTTGAAGCATCAAGTAATTGATGTTGGCTGGGCCTAGCGCCTGCGGATGGGTACGTAAAGGCACTGCGGATAGGTAGCTGTAGACACTGCGGATGGCTACGTGAAGACCTGCGTATGGCTACGTTAAGAGGCTGCGGATAGACAGCTTAGTGACGAAATTGGCGTATCCATCCCCGTGCATCCTCACTGTAACTCTCGCTTGTCCCGGTGCGCCGGCCAGTAAACACAACGCCACCCCTTCGGCGAATGTACACAACTCAGCACCCATCTTTCATTTCGACGTCATTCAGACAATCTCTCCTAAGTACTAGTCTAACCGCCAACCTTTTTCGACTGAACGCTCTCCTCTTTTCCATAACATGAAGGTGGTGCTCGATGCCAGCCGTCTCACGTCGACCAGTCAATGCTCAAATGTTCACCAACAGCAGCCATATAACGCGTTTTTCCACGTTCAGCTGAAATTTGTTAACCTTTTCCATGCAAGTTTGGGTTGAGACCTTCTTCTACAGCCGTCTTCAGAACTGGCCCCTGAGGACCCGTCCGTCAAGGCGTTGATATTCTCCGATAAGTAGGTCAACAAATACGCCATCACGACACTTTCGGTCGGCGTGAGGTCAACGGAGCCTATCTCCTCAACCAGCGCCGTAACCTTACAGGCCTTCTTGAACCTGTCCACCGAGGAATCACAGTCGGTAATGCACTTCAATGAGGTATACAACGACGACTTCCTGTACATCATGTCGACTGAACCCATGACGACGGTAGGTTCCCCGTTCGCGCTTATGATGCCGTAACACTGCTCTTAGTCCCCCAGCAGGGTGCAGATCGCCGGGATCTTAGAGGCCTTATCTCCGTGCTTCTGGCGGTCGATCCCCATCTAGTAGGCTGCGCTTGTCAACTTGGTAAGGGCAATACAGCAGGTGATCTTATGCATGTACAACGGTGACTGCATCCCGTCCTCTGACTAGTGGACGAACTTCACGTTCTTGAGAACCGTCCGGGGGATGTCGACGTACCCGGTGGGCAACATCTCGTGCTTTGACCCCTCCCCGAACGATACGCCGGTCATAGGGGAAGCGACCAACCTGAAGCTGTTCGTGGGCCTGGTCCCGTTGTTATTCTTGCTCAGGATCCCGAATCTCGTCGCCAGTTTCCCGTAGCACTTCTCGGCTACCTCCTCGGCGGTAGCCTCGTCGTTCATGATCGCCTTGTTCATCAGGTATATCTCGCCGAAGGTGTCGTCGTCGCCTCTCGCAAACCCGTATGTCATCAGAAAGATCCCATTGTACGAGTCCTTCCTCAAGTGCCCTAGGCAGTTCTCGTGCACGGAGCGTGTGGTGGCGTTGTCGATCGATTCGATGTCGGGGGACTGGTACATCATATTCTCGACGTTGACGGTACTCCACGTGCACCTCACGACTGACGGGGCCACATCGATCTTCCTACCCGGGACGATGACTGTCTTCGCCCTGAACTCGTTCTGGGTTATCTTGTTGTGCCAGTAGGAGTCCTTGACCGTGTTGTTGTGCGATGTGCCCTTGTTCATGTTCTAGTAGACGATTGTGTGTTGATCTATTGCCGTGGTGTTGGAGTGTGTCCGCGATCTCGTTTTAGAACTCCGACATGACGTGCTACACCTACATCTACATCAATACCATCTCGGTGGACTTGTCGCTCGCGTTGTCGTAGACCTCGTATTACTTGACCTCGCACTTAGGATAGAAGTTCTGAACCGTGATGATGTCCATGACCTTTGATATTAACGCATACCTCCCCGTACTTATTACCAGCTTGCCAACAGGCACTGAGTTATCTCCATTCTCCGATAAGTATGTCAGATTGGGCTTGGACGGAGCACCTAAGGCCATGGTGTGCAAGTGTAAGACCGCGAACTCGATGTTGATCTCCATGGCGGCGACGCTGGATATGGCGGGCATGCACAAGACGCAGAACTACGTTTCGAAGGTGTCGAGGAATAACCCCTTGCCGCTGGACCCTGTGGACGTGAATACGATGCCCAAGATCTACACCATCGAGATAGAGGTGACGCTCGGGAGGTTGATGTCGGCGAAGGCTTGGGAGAGGATGTAGTCGGGCTTCATGGGGAACTACCTGACCAGCGAGATCGAAGAGATCGGATGCTATAAGTACTGGAGGGAGCCGTACAACAAGATCGTGAAAGTCAGGCATAGGACTACCAAGGGGTACGCGGTCAAGGTCCCGATGTCGAAAGCGAACTTCATGCCGGGGATGGTGTTGACTGTCTCCTACGAATACTCGTTTGTAGGGAGAGTCGTGAAAAACCTGTGCAGGACCTTCATGACTCAGATGTCGTCGAGAATGGAGATCAAAGGCGTGTGCGTCGTCGTCAACTACAGGAAGTACGAGATGGAGGGCCACGCCTCGTTCTCGTGTGAGGTGGAGTTTCCTGAGAAGTACGGCTTTAAGGAGTTGACCCGCGTCATGTCAGAGTTTGTCTATGTGGTGGGGTGGGAGACTATGATGTCGGAGACCACGATGTCGGAGACCATAATGTCAGAGACCACGATATCGAGCTACATCGACGAGGCATTCATGGCGGAGGTGAAGATGTCGGAGCATAGCGTGGTTGACATCAGCAGTGCTGAGAACTGCTCGGGGAAGTTCATGTACAAGGCCGATGGCATGAAGATGTATGTGTTCAGGTACGAGTGTGGATACGTCGTCTGCTTCTCTGACAGGAAGCTGTTGGCCATGTCGTACATAATCGAGAACAACTCGGTCTTCACGGTGGATATCAACAAGACTCCCGACGTGGTTATAGTTGAGATGATGTCGGACGGGACTCTGGTTTTCTTGGACAATTTGTGCCCTAATGGAGTCGTGTTGTCTAACCTGAAGGAGCTCAGCGACCGCCATGCCGGACGCTGTTATTAGGGACAACTGGGACACGTTGAGTGAGTTCAAGCTGTTGAAGGCGCCGCTGATGCAGAGCGACGGAATGGCGTGCGTGGGGAAGCACAAGACCGTTAGGGTCAAGGAACCCACTATCGACGTCTTCTGCAAGAACGGAGTAAGTAGTCCAGGTCTCGGACAACGCGTTGACGGTGGTGAACGGGAAGGCCCACAAGGACATGATTGAAGGGTCCTTATACCAGATGACGGTCAAGGCCTATACAGACAAGAAGTCGGTGAGGCTGTGTAATCCGTTAAGAAGGCTGGCCAAGTTTAACCCCAATACCCCCAAGATCGCCATGAGGTCTTTCGCGAGCTCTTTAGGGAAGGGGGAGAACACGACGATTCTGTACGAGGTCGTCTCGGTATCCTTCAAGATGAGGGAGATGGTGTATAACGTGGCCATGGTGTCGGCGTCCTCCGGGAGGAAGATGACCATGACCGTGGGTCCAGGTCGATCCCAGGAGGCGAACCTCATGGAGTTCAAGAAGTTCTCCTACATCGCGGTGGATCCCGAGGTCGACATCACGAGACTGACAAAGCGCAAGAACGTCAAGTCAGTAGCGAAGTACAACAAGTACTCAACGTTGACAAAGCAGCTGAAGGCGATCTCCTCGAGCCCCGGTCATGTGCTCTACTACGACAAGACATTCAAGAACTTCTTGTTGATATACGACACCTTGAAGAACTTGTCGGAGATGTCGACCCCGGTAGTCTTCTCGTCCAGCCTGTCGTACTGCATCACCAGCGTCAACAACTTGATGTCTATGTCGGTCCCCGTGTACGGGTGTGGTTTCGTACACGACGGGATGACGAACACGGTCGCGGGGAGGAGACCGATCACTATGACGGTGAAGAAGAGCAGGAACGGAGACGAATACGTCAGCGCGGTTTTCGGCAAATCGACATACAACGAGCCCTTGTTCATGTTCAGCAACATCGCAGGGTTGAAGTACATCGAGTCCGTGATGCCCTGGCTCTCGAAGGAGATCGACATCGCCACGAAGGACATCATGAGCCGCGCCGTATTGCTGATCTAATTCCTCTCGTTGGTGTAAAACCTGAGTGTCATCGGCTTCGACTTCCCGTCGTTTAGCATGGCGATCGTGGCGTAGACTACCATCTTGACCACTGAGTACCTCACCGAGACTGTCGTGGACTTCCTCGGCACCATGTTGTCCCCCTTCTCACAGTCGCAGAACAACACGAGCGCGGAGCACCGCAAGCAGATGGCCACGTTCACCAGGTCGGACGACCATAAGCACTTAAAGGCACAGATGTTCAGCTTCTATATTATTATCGACAGCAACTCTATCTCGGACACTCTTAGGGTACCTCCTTTATACCTCCCCTTAATAATCTCGTTCAAGTAAAATGCCTTAGGCAGATAGTGCTGCTTAAGGCAGGGCTTATGCCTAAAATAGAGAACCCTTATAATCCTATCGTTATACTTGATGACCCTCTTAGTAGCACTGGTGTCCTTAAATGCGATCTTCTTCCCATTCACCAAGATGTAGGCCTCAGGCAATTCTGCGTCGAATCTGCGTCGATGGTAACGTACTTCTTGTTCTGCAGCGGTCTGATGCGCAACCTAAAGCTCATGATTGACAGGTACATCGAGGTGTTTTCGTTCATCTCTCTGACCTGACCGTCGATGCCTCGGTTCAAGTTCTTGGTTTAGACGATGATGTTGGGTCTGAACCTCTCCCCCGTGAGGGTATTCTCCATCTCAGGCATGTCAGAGTAGGACATCAAGCTGCTTACGGTGAACTTGAGGCCGTGCCATGTCGCGAGCTTGCCCCCTACCTCGAGTTTCTTGTTGAAGACGTACACGTACGCGTTGACCCCGCCCATCTTGTTGACGTACGTCTTGATGACCAATCCCTGGATCGAATACTTCCACCACTCCTGCCTGTACATGACGTCCCAGGGCTCGATCTTCCCGCACGATCTCGGGAGGGGGTAGTCGATGAAGCCCGACCAGGAGAGCCATCCGGATTCCGCGAACTCCTTGCTGACAATACATGCATTCTCTGTATTCTGCTGCATGTTGATAAGGTCATGGCCATGTTCCTGCTGGGGAGCAGGAATTCAGTCTCCCTCTTGGACTCCCTCTTCAAGATCGCGGCCATCTGAGTCGTCAACACGGGCTCGTTGAATTCGTTCGTGACCATGGTGGCCTCGCCGCTGGTAGGGAGCTTGCACAACGCCTGCTTCAACATCGTAACGCCGAGCCTTATCCTGGGCTCAGTCGCGAAACGGTACAAGGGGATGATGAGCGTGTTGAGGGAGGCCAGTTGGTGTGGCTCCTTGTCGTGGGTGTGGAATGACATGTCCAAGTACTTCATCGTGTCGGAATGGTACACGCACATCGTATCGACTTAGGGGCCCTTCCACTCCAACGACTCCCCGACGGCTACGTACCTCACGGGCCTCATCAAGACGCCCGCCACACACGAAATCATCACGATCCTCCTCCTCTTGAAGACATGGATGGTGGATATCTCGGGATGACACATCATCTTCCAGGTTCTGACCATCCTTATGACACACGACTCGGTCACCATGATTGTGCACCCTATTAGCCTCAACGTCCAGTTTCCTGAAGATGCCTCGACATCACACACGGTGCTGATGATCGACTTCACCATCTCCATTGTCTTGCTCGTGCAGATCTTCATCGCGACGCGCATCGAGAGGGTTCTGATCCTCTCTGTGGCCTTAGACTGCAGGGTATAGTAGGGGTCGAGGAACCCTCTATACGCGGATATAGGCATCCTTTGGCTCACGTTGCACTTATCGTTGGTCCCTGTTGTCATCTCCGTTAACACAATCGCATTATTCTCGATCAGGCCTCTAATGGTATATAACTTCACTATAGGCTTTATAGACTTATAGATGCTCTTCTAGAAGTTATTGTCTATTGTGTGGTATATCGCGTCTATCTTTATGATGTTGCTATATACAAGGCCTGTTCTTCACGTATATGGAAGCCGCCTTGGATAGGTGTATGGTAGGAGGCTATACCGGGGCTGTATATCCCGATTTATTCGCGAATACCTACTTCAGAGATATGTCTGGCATCTGCTCAATGTATCTCTTTATCCCGTCGAGGTCGGTGTGGATGTACTTATGCTTGCAGACCACTAGCGTTCCGGATTCGTCGCTCTCATCGCGTTCCAGTAGAGCACCGTGTCCAACAACGGGAGACACGGTGCACATCCTGTATATATCGGTGATCGAGTTTTGCACGGCATTGAGTTCGGGAGCCTCACCGTCAACTGGTACGCGTCCGCCGTCGGGACCTCGACGCCTGCCTCAACGTCAAGAAATACTTTAACGACTCGGGGAAATGCCTTGTGTACTCGACGTCCTGGGGCAACTTGTTGGTCTCTGACATGTCCCCATCTCGTTGTGTATCTACGCGATCTTCTTGGTCTTATGTTGCAAAAACAACATGTTGTACCACTACCACTGCGTCTTGTAGAGGATTTAGAAGGTCTTCGAGTCTTCCAAGAACTACGCGCTTATCTATGGCTCTAACGTCCCGTTGACCTTCCTCGTCATGTTGTTCCTGGTGACGACGAACAGTCTCATGTTGTACGCGAACACCATCTCGACGACACTGTTCACGTCCACCATGGTGAGGACCGAGTCCAACATGCTCCTCACCCTGTCGGCGATCCAGCGCTTGTTGATATCCGAGGGCGGGATCCCCGTCCCCACTGCGATCTTCTCCCTCTTCTAGTCATTGTTGACGTAGATGTAGTGCGGCTGACCGGAGATCTTCACCTCCGCGACCTGCTCGTTGGCCTCGAGCCTCTCTTCCTGGATACACTCCATCAAGGTGCCGACCAACGCCACTAGCCTCTCCACCTTGTCCTCGTTCGACATGTCCGAGTTGAGGATCTCCATCGTTCTGCTCAACGCATACTTCGCGATGGGGTTGGTGTCCTTCTCGATCGCCAGGCCCTTGGTCTCCACGCTGTCTTCCCACGGCACTGCCTCATACCTCTTTTTACTCGAGACGATTATCGACTTGTAGTTGCCCTTCACATCCGCACCTACATCCCGCTTAGCGATGCCTTCCAGACTGCAATTACAGGCCACACCATGGCATGATCACCATTAACCTGGGTGTTTTACAGTGCATGTAAGTCCCAGCAATATAGCACTGACGAACCGAGAAGTGATTGATGTGGGGGTCAATTTTGCCCAACTCTACTCATCTTTATAAATGTGGATAAGAGAGGCCGTAATGTTGCCCTGCAAACATACCAAGATCCACCAGCTGGAGCGACATGGCGGCAGAACATGAAGTAATGGGAGGTGCTGACCCTGTTTCCCATAGCCTTTTTTTCTGAACGTTATACTGGTAATACTGCTAATTCAGGATCCACCTTGAAGCCGTTTAATAAGCAATTTGGGAGGTCTGGTTTGGACTGGCAAGCCTGGATACCATGGCCGAGATCCCCTATAATCACTTGAGGAGCACTACCGATACATCTTCACGAATCCGCAAGCACCCTCCAATTTCAAGTATCCCTCAGGCTACCTAGCAAACCAGCGCTAAGTCATCTTTAGCGCAGTGATAACTAAAGATCAAAATATAAGTAGTGTATCCTTAACATTCTCGCCACTTGCTAGAGTATTACTGACGGTAGGAGCAAAATAACTCGTAATTATAATAAAAAATCAGCTTATATCTCAGTGTATCAAGTCTTGGCGAAGTATTATTCACTCTTATACATAACCGCAACATTTGCCCGTTGGCAGAATATCTCTGGCTGGGGAACCTTATCCAAATTGATATCGCCAAGCCTTCTGCCATCGCGCTGCAAGTATCATTCACTCGCCGACACTTGCATGCTACCTTCTCCAGGTCAAGCACATAATCTCAAAGTATGAAGGGATAGAGGGAATAAAGCAAGCGGCGTTGGTGAAGTTCACCACTAGCACTACATCCGGCTTAGCTGACAATTTCCACAACCACAACAAGGCTCGCCAAAGCCCATCTTCTTGGAAGTGCGATCGTGGGAGCGAATTATCATGCCGGAGAGATTAAATAGCCAATGGAGATACGGTTTCAGGACTTGTTTAGACGAAAGCTAGATTTTTCCTTTTCTACTTTAAATCATCTGTTTTCTGAGATCAAGCGTCAGAAGCCAGGTCAAAAAGGCTTCCATCCCATCCCTAATTATCAGGGTTCCTTACACTGAAACCTGGTGCGACTACGAACTCTCGGCCAGTTAGATAATGACTGTACAGGTATATTTTTATAGGTACATCCAGTAAGTTACTTTCTTGTCGGCCGTTCGTTTCATGTCGTGACAGCGAAATGACATGAATACAGAAGAGCCCAATAGTTCTGCGACTGCACACGGAAATGGATGGACCCATGTTTCCCAATCTACTCCGGTCCGGGCCGGCCAAAAAAATTAAATCTTCGCGGAAATTAGCCAGCGCCGTGCCACGTTGTAGCCTGATCAACACGTCACTTTACACTACCTAGGCTGAGAGAAGGCACAGCCCTTTTCTCCCCGAGACAGCTAAAGGCCTCATCGCCAAGACCCGAACCAAAATCTCCGTCAAGATCCTGATAGCCCGACATGGGAAAACCCATCTTCTCCCCGATCCCGATTGCGATCAAGCTGCTCAGAGTTTCGGATGCATTGCCCTGGTCGAATCGAACACTCCATTCGTTAGTGGCTTGCACCATGACGGTATCAAATGCAGGGAAACCTCCTTCCCCGACTCATTCATTATCTACAGCTAACTCAGAGACAAGACCAACGCCTAACTTCCAAAACCGTGTATTCTAGATCCACATCGAGCAGATGGGAAATTGGTTACTTGCCTGATGACATTTTATGGGAGCGCTAAAACCTTGACTTCAATAACCTGGCTTTATTTTGTCCCGCTTAAGCTTCAAATACGGCTGTTAGCGTATGTCCGAGTCGATGGCTTGGTGCTACTTGGAATTGGGGGACACCTGGGCATCTTCAACAAAGGTGTTGGCAATGCTCAAGTTTTGAGCTGCGTATCTATCTTGCCAGGCTCCGACGCAGTATCCTGCCTTCTCGAATATTGGTCACTCATGTGTCATTGTCCTCGAGAGCAACTGGACGGACAGCGAGATGGTCGACTTGGCCCTGTTCCCGGTGACGGGCCTCGAGCTCGGGGACCTTGGGGGATGGCATGAGGCACACCACCCTGAACTGGAGCCTGTACCAGTTGGCCAACTTATCCCATACCTTAAGCGAGGTCTTGCATACATACATTTGCACGTTCAGCAAGTCAAGCTCATACGTCTCAAGCACCACGCCAGGGACAAAAGACCACTACCACTACTCTTACTTTAGAAGCATGTCCTGCTGCAAGACATTTCTCCTGGACTTGGGGAGGGACTAGTCGATGAAGCCAATTCTGCAAACGTGCGGGTGACGATATATGAGTCTCGGTGTTTTGCTGCACGTGATGAACCTGAGGCCACGTTTCTCCCTGTGACTGTTCGACATGATCGCAACGGTCCCGGTAATCATGATGCACTCGAAGTACTTGTTCATGGATATTGTCGACTTACCACTCATAGGGTATATCAGCCACGCCCGACCTGCTCCTCAGCTCCGTCGCGAACTTGCAGCAGGAGATCATCATCGTGTTGAGAGACGCTGTCTAGTGCTTCAGCCACGTTCTTAGCGACATACCTTATCGTGTCGGGCTGGTGAGCGCACATGGTGTCTGCATAGATCCCGCTCTTAAGAAAGTCTTGCCCCCTCATTCTAAACTTAGCCGACTTAACCACAACCCGAGTAGCGGCCGAGATGTTGATGACTTTCCTCTCGAAGATGCGCAGGGCCGGCATGGTATTGACTGAAAACTTGGCCCACAACACGATCCTGTCTACATTTCTCTTGTCAATAGTTGTTGTGTAGCCCATGCGCCTTTGCACCCTTGACAACATGGCGTCCCTTGTGATATCTGATAAGATCTCGCGGGCAATCTCCATCATCTTGTCAGTTCAGATCCTGACCGAGATCCCCACAACAAGGACCTGTTCCTTCCAGCTTCCTGGCCCAGCAGAAAGAACACATTTCCTCTGGGACGCGATCAAGAGGATGTCCCTATACAGTAGCTGTTGTACAAAGCGCAGATTAGTCACAACGAGCGTTCCAGCTTTGATTGAAAGAGCCTTTTTTTCTCAATTGAAAGTGCCGAAAACGCGCCACAGCCACCACAATTGCCATAGCCACACAGATTCTACCACCACTGAAGAAGCACAAGCCGCTTTAGCCACAGGGCAACGTGTCGACAATTCTATCAAGGACATAGGCAATGATTCCATCAGAGGCATATCTAGCATATGCGCTGTCGCACAACAGGCAGCTCTGGATGCACACAGGGCAGAACCTCAGGACCCCGATAGGCATACAATGTTCACCCTTGAGATGTTCGAGAATGTTGCCATTGTCCTGCACTCTCGAGCAACACGACTATTCTTCAATCGTGCACTTGACTCACGATACGACTACGACTTTTAACGCTGGCCCACCTTGCTAAATTCCATCTGTCTTTTGACTGACGAGCGAGCTTTGTCCATATTACGCTGCCGTCCTCCTGTCTCCGAAGCCTACCAGCATACAATCCCGACCAACGTCTGCTCCTCCATCTTTAACTTTAATTGCTCGACCGATAGTACTCATACCTTCGCTGTGATGACATAGAAGTGGAAAGCAGTAAGTTTAGGAGCCCAGTCTGGTTCAAACGAGGCTTGCCTTTTAAACTCCGAGTAGGCCTGGAGACTACGTGATCAGCCCACTCACATTCCACAAATCCGCCACGATCGAGACCATACTCCACTTAAAGGACAGCGACTTCTGGAAGACGTTGGATAAGCCGATTAAGCCCACCACAAAGTCGTACACCACTGCATAGCTGAGCGAGATTAATATGATAGTCTTGACATAATCTCCGAGGATGACGAGAAGTGCGCCACTGACTAGAGGATGCTAATGGCATCGCAGAGGGCGTTCTTAGACCCTTACTACACGCCGCAGCCTTAAGCAGGGCCTTTTCAAGTTTTTCTAGATTAGAGTCCTGCCTTTGCGGGAGTTGGGGAGGGAGCACGAGATAATTGTAAAGAGCATCATTGAGGGTCAAGGATTTTTCCTGATAGTAAGTATCTCAAAATAACAGCCTAAACTTTCGAGACAAGGTTTAGTTTTATGCACCTGGTTTCTTGCCCAAGGATCTGTGTAAGTTTATCGGGCCAAGAGGCGCCAGGACGCTTCTATTGATGATGGCTCGCTGGACAATGCTACCGCCCCTTTCTTTGATGTACAGCGCGCCTGTGTGAGGCCGATAGAAGCATGATGCTACTATCTTAGATACCCTTGCCATGTTACTGAGTATGCCTTTTTATGTTTGCTGTCTCTTATATCTTTTACCCCTTAAATGGATTTTAAGATAAATAAATTTATAGTAAACTTAAAGGTAAATCTTTTTAGCATTTCTTTAATATATTTCTTTTTATTTTTAAACTGTTTTTTTAAAACTAGCTTTATATTATAATTTAAAATCTACTTTATACTTATAGTTATATATTTAATAAACTTAATATTATTTATAATAATTAGGTATTTATTAATATTTTTATTAAAGGCAAAAATATTTATCTTTTAATTTTAAATTAATATTATAAGGCTTTGATTTTATTTTAATTAATTAAATTAAATAAATTAAAAAAGGTTTATTTAATTTATTTATAATTAATAAGGTTTATAGAAAAATTATAAAGTATATATAATATAACTATAAAGATTATAATATAATTTCTTATTTCTTTTAAGTTTTATCTTTAAGGTTATACTTAATTATTATTTTTATTAGTTTTATATTTATATATATTTATTATAACCCTTATAGCTATATTATATATACCTTATAAATTTTACTTAATTATTAAATAATTACCTAAAACCAGTAAAGAAATATAATAATTAATTTATAATTATTTAGTAATTAATCTTAATTACTAGTAATTATTAAATAAACCAGCCTAATTATCTTAAGTATATATATATATTTATTTAGTATTAAATAAAACTTAACTTATTAGCTATTAATAAACTATCTTTATATTAATAAGCCTAACCTATATTATTTAATTATTAAGAAATATAATATTTTATAAGCTTAATATTATACTTTATATTATCTATAAATATAAACCTAATATAAATTAATTTCTTTATTTAAAACCTAACTATTATATATTAATAGCTTTTATTTAGACTGTATTATATAATATTAAGTAATATTAATATAATAATACCTATAACTTTTATTTAACCTTTTAATATAAAATATATATAATATACTTTATAATAGAAAGTCCTCTTTAATATAAAGGATATCTCTATAAAAACTAATAAAGAAAAAAAAGAAAATATTATATTAATTTATTTAATTACCTATAAAGGGGAAGTTATAAAGCTTAAATATAGATTTATTTACTTTAATAAGTAATATAATATTACTAAATAACTTTAAAAAGAATATTAAAATCTCTTAAAATAGAATTAAAAGATTAAAAAAAAAGGTAATTAAACTTATTAAACTTATTAAAGCCTTAAAGGCTAAAGCTAAAAAAAGCTAAAAGTTTTATTAAAAGTATATTAAGTATATTATAGTACTTATTATTATAAATAAAGATCTTAAAGAGATTTTATAATTCTATTAGCTAGATTTATTTAATAGTAATATAAATAAACTTTAAGGATTTTTTATTAATCTTTAAAGTTATTAAATATATTACCTTATTTAGTTTATTACTAAAGAACTTAAAATTAAATATAAAATAGGACTTCTTAAAGATAAGGTATTATAACTTATAGAATCTATTATTTATAACTATATTAATAACGTTAAAGAGAAATAATAGAAAATAATAAAATATATTTATAATAAATATAAATACTTTAAGGATAAATTTAAAAATGCTTTTAAAGTTATAAATAAAAAATAAATAAAAGAAATAGTAAAAGCTATATAAAAGGTAAAAAAAAGAAAAAGAAAATACTATAAAAATAAAAAACTTAAAAATAATAAAATAATAAAGTACCTTAAAGGAGAAAGAGGTTATATAATATATTAATATAATTCTAACTAGAATTACTATTTAAGCTATTAAAAAAGCAGTAAAGACTAAAAAGATAGTAAAAAATAACCTATATATAAAGAAATAGTAAAGAGATTAAAGTATAGAATATAAAGGAAGTATAGTATATATAACTATATAATACCTTTAATAAAAAAATAAATAATTAAAATAGAAATAAAACTAACCCTATAAACCCTTATATAATAAATAAGAATTAAAATTTTAAAAAATTAAAGAAAAGATATATATTTAAACTATTAGGAAATATATTATTATAGATAAACTATTAATAATATATATTTATATCTATTATATAAAAGATATTATAAACCTATTATATAAAGAATTAAAGTTTAACTTTAAAGACTATATAATAATACTACCTATATACTTAAAATATAATAAATTATTATAGATATTATATAAATACTATTAATATATTAAATATAAATAATAATAAAAAATAATAATTACTTTTTTATTATAATTTTAAGAATACCTAATAATAAGCTATATTAAAAAGAGAAAATAGAAAGATACCTATTAAATATATAATATAAAAACCTTAAAATATTAAAACTTTAATTTTATATAGCCTATTATAGAGAAATCTAAAAGGATAAAAATATATAAGTAAAACTTTAATAAATAACTTAAGATATTACTTTAATAAAAAAAGAATTTAATTAATAATATATAAATAATAATAATAAATAGTTTATTAATAATACTAACTTAAAAAGACTAAAGGAAATAATAAAGTAATTAAAAATATAAAATAAAATATTAAAAAAACTAAAAGAATTTTTTAAAATATTTTAAAATAATAAAAATAAAATTACTTAAAAATAAAAAAAAGTCTTAAGAAAATATAATAAATATAAAATAAAACTTATAAAGAAATATATTAAATTTAATAAAGTTAAATATATTAAAGAATATATAAACTTAAAAGTATATTATAATTTATATTTAAAAGATATAAGCTATTTATATAAAAAATAAATAATAAAATTATAATAATATAAATTATAATTAAAAATAGTTAAAAAGTAATATAAAGAATTAAAAAATTATTATTAATAATAAATAATTAATAATAAATTTATTAATAATTATATTAATAATAAAAGTTACTATAATAGTAATTATAAATAAACTTACTAAAATACTTTAAAAAAAGAGATATACTTTCTATAATAATAAAGCTATAAAAGAGTAAGAGCTAAAAATAAAAATAACTTAAACCTATAAAAGCTTTAAGAGTTATATAAGATAATAAACCTAATTACTTAATACTATAAGCTTAAATTAAAGAAAAATAGCTAAATATTTAAATTAATAGTAAAATAAAAAAAAACTTTATTAACTTAAAAATAATTATAAAGTTAAAATTACTATAAAAAAATAAAAAATAAATTTATTACTTTATAAATATAAAAAGATAGTTCTTTAACTATTACCTTAACCTTTTAATAATTACTTTTATTTAGCTTATTTATTAATTAAAAATTATACTTTAATATCTTTTAATTATAAGTTTAAATTTCTTACTTTTAATAATAAAGCTATATTAATTATAATAAACGCTTATTTAATTAATATTATAAATTAATTAGTTTTTCCTTAATAGCCTTTTTAGCCACCTTAATTCTTTATTTAGCCTTTATTAAATAATTAGCTAAAATAGATTATTAAAAAAATACTTATTTTATATATATAAAGACTTACCTTAAAAAAGAGATATTTTATTACTATTATAAAAATGCCTATAATAAGTATACTTACTATAAATATTAAGACTAAGTTTTATAAAGTATTAAAATGTCTTTTAAAAATAATAAATATAAGGCATAACTTTATAACCTTTAAAGTTAATTAAGTTAGCTTTAGTAATATAATAGTAAGTAAGTATTAAAAATATAATTAGGTAATTATAAACTTAAGTTATATAGACTTATAAATAAAAATTAAATATTAAGTTATATAAATCTTAAGGATAAGACCTAATAGAAAGATAAGATTATATTATAACCGTTATAGCTATATTATATATATTCTATAAATTTTACCTAATTACTAAATAATTACTTAAAACTAATAAAGAAATATAGTAATTAATTTATAATTACTTAATAATTAATTTTAATTATTAATAATTATTAAATAAACTAGCTTAATTATCTTAAGTATATATATATATTTATTTAGTATTAAATAGAACTTAACTTGCTAGCTATTAATAAAGTATTTTTATATTAATAAGCCTATTTTATATTACTTAATTATTAAGAAATATAATACTTTATAAGCTTAGTATTATGCCTTATATTATCTATAAATATAAACTTAATATAAACTAGTTTCTTTATTTAAAAC